ATATTGATATATCATATAATGCGTATTGTTTATTTAGTAAATACTAGTAGTTTAGAGATTTTGATATTTTTTGTAAAATTTAAGAGAATAATTAAAAAAAATGTTACAATACCCAAAAGTTTTTTTTTTCAGTGTAGAGACAAGAAAAATCATCAGTGTAAAAATTTCAAGTGCCTGGCAACTCATTGGGTGAGAGGTAGGGTACACTGGACACGATCTGGTCCAAGGTTAGGACAGTTTAGGTTATTTGACCTAACATGCTTGTTTTATGACCCTATACCCAAAGAAACTTGTGGTTGTATAGTGAGAACATGCAAACACTATTCAGAAAGCCCACAGGCAAGATTCAAAGCGGCATTCAAAGCACATATTTAAGTTCTAACAGATCACGTAAGATCTTGCAATATTGCATGAAGTTCTTCACAGTGTTATTTTCAAGGTTTAACCAAAACAGTAATAACTCTGTCATTTCTCATCATAAAACATGATCTTAGCATCTGGCTTGAAAGGCGGTATACATTCCTTCAAGGGATGATAGGCCTTTAATTAATTCAAGACTTGGGCCAAAARAAAGTAACTTTGAATGAAATTAAATCTTGTGTTTTACATTTATTGAAACATTATGACGAACGTGTGTCGTAATCAAAGTTAAAGGTGGTCCAACAAAACATCGGAGGACTGGGCGGCGTAGCATTAAAACAAATTGCCTCTTTATATACAGCTGTAGGAAAATTTACACACTGGCTGGATTTAGTCTGCTGCAAACCCATTTCAACGTCACGTGTGATTATGGTGGCATTGTGCCGTGTCCGATCCTAGACGTACAGCCTTGAGGGAGCAGAACAGCAAGCTTGTCTGACAGAAGCAGAGAGAGAAGGCTGGTAGGCTATAGGGAGGACCTGATTGTACTCTGGCATCCACAGAATGGCATTATAGCTGCGTGGTTTCATGATAATAATAATCTTCCGAGCAGCTGTATAAACATTTAACTGACATCCACTCCCAGGGCACGCAGTATATATCTTTAACTTCTACTAGGGCCAGTCTGATGCAACTATTCAAATCTCCGCCCATCTCTGTTGCTCTTTTTTTGTTGTTTCTACTCGTGATCCATGTTAGAATTTGCTACAAATGTCAAAAGAGAATTAATGTTTATGTCACATCAGGATTTGACTATTTGAAAGAAAAGCACAACATATTAGGGGAATGATTTACAGGGCGCAGAGCTGCTTCAGTTGTCGTCTTTAAAGAGTAAAAAAAAATAGCTTTTAACAGAAACCAATAAATTTAGACAAACCCTCGCTTTGGCCTCTCACAATGTAGACTACTTCCTGGTAACATTTGTCTTAATTCGTGGCAGTTTGTGTAAATATTTATGCCACTAAACTAACTGTTCTGTATACAGTGTGCTCCCCAATCTTCACTGGAATGTGATTTAATTGGCGGTTTCCTCTGTTTATCCTGGTTCATACTGTTATAGGCAAGCTTACTGTAATGAATAATCAGGTAGACAAAATGCAGCCTTAAATTAAATGTCCTCCTTAAAGAAAATCAAATGAAGGTTAATACATGTTTCATGCTGCCTGTCTGTAATTCACGTTCTCTCATCACATGCCAGATTACCATTATGTGTCATTTGTAATGCGATAAACAGACTCCAGATGGCTTGGGTTCTGCTGAATTCATACAGAGCAACAGAAGCTATGTAAAGAGCTGCTGTATTTTTTTTCCTAAAGCCACCTTAGATGAGCAGGCCAGCTCTTCATCCGCTTTTATACAATAACACAAAAATAAGAACAATAATTAAATAGATTATGAAACTTGGAGGTCAAGGTGTGTTTTGTCAGTTAAAATAAAAGCAGATGACTAAATGTAATCTTTTCCCTACGATTTTTTGCATTAAGTTTGAAGTTTGTCAAACGGTCTGAAAGCAGATGAGGGATGTTTCCGTGTTGCTAACACATCTTTGACATTGTGCAGCAGAGCTGGCAGTGCTAGCAAAGGAAGGCGCTTCTGATCTCCTAATTCATCTCAACCCTTGCCTTGTCATTGCACGCTGTGGATTTTAGATCCACGTTGTGGAGTTTTGCCACAGCKCCACAAACAGATGTGAGCGAAGGCTGGTTCTTTTCCAAAACACAYGGAAACATATGCACGTCATATGAGATGCTGTGTTACCTAAACACCTCTGTTATGATGGTTATCTTACATCCGACAGTGATTTATCTGTGATTATTTGGCCTCTTTGCGTTTGGTGCGAGGGACAAGAAAAARCCCACTCACTGGTTTATGCACGGATCACTGAGGAACACTGGGCCTCTTGTAAGCATGTCAAATCTTAGTCCAGAATGAAACATTGTATTTTTCTAACCTGGTTAAATAATCACATTACCTAAGACTCCATAAAGTGGAACAAACAGTAGCATTTAACCCAAACTTCTTTTTATGTGCCTTGACTGACAGATAGGCTTTCATCAAAGAGGCAAGCAAAAGAAGTTATATGGTCATTTTACTGTGCTAAGAACACTAAATTGATCCTCATATGTAGAACATCTGGTGAAAAGCAATTTCCACCCAAGTGTTTTAGTATTTCCTCCTAATTAATTTCACATGTACATGACAAGAAGTGAACAGTCTCCCAGAACCAAGGCACAAAAGCCAGCTTTGTTTCACCACCAGAAAAGTCATCTGTGGTTCCTAGTTGAAAACTGGCTAGCGCTTTAACACTTGAAATCAATGCTGAAAGCAGCACTTTGGGGGGAAAAAGTCCCATCTTGCTCCCTAGTGACACAGTCAGCTCGAGGTTTACGTTTCTGTTCAGTCAAGGGCTGACTGACTCATGAAGCAGGGCGGCCATGTTGGATAGAGTGGCACAAAGCAGGCAAAGGTGAGTGAGACCAGAGCCTGCGAAAGATGTAGTAAAAATGAGTGCTAAGCTGCCAAACCAAGCCATACTGAAAAAGTGGGTGCTGTTATGGGCAGCTCTTACATGGTATGTTTGAAACTGCTTCATAGCAACTTAAAGAAAGTGTGATGTCCATAATCACCCGTAAAAAGCATAATCTTAAAGTTTTAGTCACAGCTTTGACTTATAACAAATTTTTTTACAAGGAGGCCACACAGAGGTAAACAGATTAATTAATTAGCAAATGAATCTGACTATATATATAT